TCTCAGACATCACAAAGGCCTCTCATTTGGTACTTGGGATAGAGATCGCTCTGGTCCTGGATGTGTAACAAAAAAAGGTGGAGGTTGATGGTACAGCCGTAAGGATTGTGGAAAACCTTTGCACTCAAATCTCAACGGGGTCTATCAGCTTGATAGAGGGGGCGAGATCTATTGGGGAAAATTACATCCCAAAATGGCTAATGGCAGTGCTCCCACGACAACTGAAATGAAGATCAGACCTGCGAACTTGACTTAAAATTGTCTTGCCTATTATTTCGTTGACGAAATGTAATTAAAGGGCCTGTAAGAACTATAGGCATTGTAAATTAAAGTGAATAAAAAAAGCATCTTGTGATATGTAACCAGCCATTCAAATCCTTCCATTGCTTTTGTTTCAAATGAAGTAGGAATACATCCTATGAAAACAATGACAGCCAAGGAAATAGGTAAGGAACTTCATACAGTGGTATTAGGATTTGTTTTCATACAAACATTCAAGATTTTACTTAATGTGCATTTTTTTTAATTTGTATCTTTCTTTGGCACTAGAAAAGGAAATACTAAATTTATGTGGAAGACTAGACTATTTACGGTCTTAAGTTAGAGTTACAAACATCAGGCATAAAGCTATTGAGATGTATTAAAGTATATTTAAAAAATGAAACAGAACAGCCTTTCCTAAATATTGGCGCTGGTAAGAAAGTGCTCAAGTTTTGATCTTTCAAATTATAATAAAGTTTAAATTGCTGNGCCCACTACGGTGCACGTGTTCTTGAGAAATTCGGCTGTGCGTCATCAGAAATATACCTTGTCTTTTGGGATATTAATATTTCGTGTTCTTATCTTTTTTGAGGTGAGACAGTTTTGTTGAGCGCGTAGTTCACGCAGACGATAAGGCCTTTTGAACGTACGTGTTTAGAGAAGTTCGCTATGGCTCTGAGAGAATTTCTAAGTTCAACTCGTGTTATTGCAGTGTACTTGGAAGTCTGAGAATTAAATACTGAAGAGCTCTTTATACAATTCGCAAAAGAAGACAATAGATATGCAGCTTTTTGAAATTGGGGTGCGCAAAGCAGTTGACATAAGGTCCGCGTATGGTACCTACTATTTCTAAATCAAGTTCAACCTTTAATCGTAGTCCTTGACTATTTGCGAACTTACTTGATCTTTTCCTGTTTGCTTAAATGGCCTAAAAAGAACACAAATTATTGAATATAAATTTTTGAAGGTCGAACTTGCAGGGTCGCTTGATTTTCAGTGTTATATGGCTGCTTATCATTGCAAATTATGCAGCAGCTCATTGTCTTAAAGCCAAGATTTTTCTGTTCAAGACTATAGATGCAACACCGATCCTTTAATTCAACGTTAAGAAAAGATCGGGGCCCAAACGACACATTAAAATTACTGGTCACTTCACGTGCACCTCCACCAATGTCATCTACTGTAGGTCTTGCACTTATTGCGAAACAGGAGGTGTATTAGGTGATCGATTCCGAGAAGAACGCATCAAAACCAGTCGCTCCACACTTTAATCTGCCTAATCATTCTAAGCAGTTTATGGCAGCCCGCGACATTTCCTTACACTTGCTTCTGAAAGCCGCAAAACTCTAGAACAAAAGTTTATTTTACAAATTGCCATTCGTAATCCCCACAGTATCAACAAAACTTTTCATTCAACTAATGCATACTTTTGTTTTCTTGTTACCATGTTCCCACCAATAGCGTAACTCCATTTTCTGCCTATAGACTCACGCATAGCCCACAATTCCTCTATTTGCTCTTACGAAGAGAACAATTACTCCGATAGAGGCAGCACCACAGTTTCTTTAGAAACGCACCCCCTTAATTCATTTATCTTTATTATCAGTGGTGGAGGAACTGAGTATCATGCTTCATCGCTTAATCGCTTAATTAATTCATCAAAGCTCAAACTTCGTACATGGTACTTAGCCAATTTTTATTGAAATACTTATTTACGCTTGTACACGATGGCACTCTTCAAAAGGCAGCTGTTTTAAAGAATTTACAAATAATTTTAAAGAAATCGTTGCTTTTGTAAATCCACTCAAGATGCCGTGACGAGCTCCCTTAATATTCCCTGTCATAACCTTCAGATCTCAAGGGATCAGCCCCTGATCCATAAGTAAAATCGAAAGCTTCGTCTCGGTTAGATCGGACAACTTTATTTCAGGAGGCATGCATCACAGCTCATCAGCTGATCAGTTCATTTACAATTAAAACTTCCTTGTTAGAAAATGAAAGAAAGAGGTTTTGTCAGGGTAAGTTGTCGAAATTGAAAAATTACGGTGGCCCACAAGTGCACACCGAAATCTAAATCTCCACATCGAATTCTAAATCTCCACACCGAATTCTAAATCTCCACACCGAATTCTAAATCTCCACACCGAATTCTAAATCTCCACACCGAATTCAAATTGCTCACACCGAATTCCAAGGATCTGGGAGACTGGACCGAGTATTGTTTCATCGAATTGAATTA